AACCCGCCTGCCAATGCAGGAGACGCAGGTTCAATCCCTGGTTCTTTAAGATCCCCTAGAGAAGGGAATGGCTACCCACTCCAGTATTCTTGTCTGGGAAATCCCATGGACAGAGGACCCTGGTGGGATACTCATAGGGTCACAAAAGAGGTGAACACGACTGAGCAACCACACTGACCAACAGCTTGTAGGGAAATAGTCCCAGTCACCCACGATCTCCACGCAGGGGTTTGGGTGCTAGACCCCTGGATGTCCCCATAACCAGCTGTGCATGAGAAGAGCTGAGTTTCCTGCTTGCAGGAGAATAAGGTCCACACCCCCAGAGCTTTGTGGGCATTGCCTGAGGCAGCGAGGGAGGAATCTACGGAGAAGTGGGTGCCTGATTTACCGTGGGCTCCATTAGGACTGGAAAAGAGTCTGAGCAGCAAGGTGAAGGATTCTGAGAATCAGCTTGGAAACTGTGGGTGTTTTCCACCAAAGAGTTGATGGGCCTTCCGGAAAGTTCCTGTGATGAATAATTAAGCTATTTGCCTGGAATAGGGGAGGAATGCTAGTGAAGACCATGTGAGAGCAAAGCCCTGCTCACGAAGATGCTGAGCACTGTGTGTGTGTGTGTCTGTGTGTGTGTGTGTCTGTGTGTGTTTCCATTTCTCACAGGACATACATGAACATATGTAAACTTAATTCTGTATGCTGTTGCTCAGATTATGATTTGTAACTACAGTAAAGTGGACAACGCCAAAAACAACATTGGAAATGGAAAACCTTGTCATCTGCCTCGTACACTCCTTAAACATCTGTAGGGCTTCGTTTCAACCAGATCTCAGCCTCGGGTTGGCCCTCGGGCTCCTGGGTCTCCAGCCCCCACCCCATTGTCAGGCCTGGTTTTCATGCTATTCCCTGCTCCCACTGCCTTCCTTTCTGGGCAGCACATGGTACTACCCGCTCAGGGCCAGCCCCTGCCCCCTCTCCCAGGAGCCTCCAGCTCCCTCTTCCAAGTTGTAGGGAGCATGGCATGAATGTTGGGTCTGAGGAGCCCCATTTCCTGAGAGTCATGGCTATTCCCCAAATCCCGCTGTCTATATACTATTGCCCATGTGTGAAGTACATTCTCTCGGGGCCTGGGATAAGTACAATGGGTGTGCAGGGTTGTGTGTGAGAGTCTGTGTGTGTAGGCGTGTGTATGGGTGATATGTGTCTGTATGTAGGACTTTGCATGTCTGAGTTTTATTGAGTTTCAGGGTAGAAATAAACGCAGAATAGGCAGACACTTTACTGTCTGAGCCGCCAGAGAAGTCTGCAGAATAGTTAATCAAGATAGTGAAGTTTAAATGTTCATTTTAGATAAAAACTTTCAGTCTTGAAGCTGTGCTCTTGACACGTTGTTGAGAGTTGTTACGTTACTAATGGGCACATTTTTGTTGCTGGAGGATTGTGCTCAGGTGAGGCTTGTGGGTATAAGACATGCCCTTGGTGCCCGTGGCAACCAAGAGCTCCTGCCCCAGGGACACCATGTTCTGCGTCTGCAGAGGGAAAGTGCATGCAGCGCCGTGGACATCCACACTCAATGCCCGCGCGTGCTAAGTCTCTTCGGTTGTGTCTGACTCTGTGCGACCCCATGGACTGTAGCCCACCAGGCTCCTCTGTCCATGGGATTCTCCAGGAAAGAATACTGGAGTGGGTTGCCATTTCCTTCTCCAGGGGATCTTCCCAACTCAGGGATCGAACCTGCGTCTCTTACATCTCCTACATAGGCAGGTGTGTTCTTTACCACTAGTGCCCCCTGGGAAGCCCCACTCAATGCCCAGGAGACCTTCAAATGACCTTGGATCAGAAGAGACACCAGGTGTCCCTCACCACACCAGGAAGGAATTCCTGACAGGGGCCACCAGGATGCCGTAAAGTGACTCCAAAGAACTTGTAGGCAAATGCAGGGTTCTAGGAGGTCTGACACTTGAGGGGGCAGGGAACATCTGCAGTGGAGAGGAGTGTAGGCAGGCATGGGGCCGTGAGGAGAGGATGGGGCTCGAGGGGCTCTGAGAAATGCATCGATCCCCCACAAAACATGCCTAGGTAATATTCAGTAGCGAGAAGGATGCCGGCCCGTCTCTCCCTCTATGGAGGGATTTGTAGATGATTACTTGGCTGACTGCTGCTGCTGCTGCTACTAAGTCGCTTCACTCGTGTCCGACTCTGTGCGACCCCATAGACGGCAGCCCACCAGGCTCCCCCGTCCCTGGGATTCTCCAGGCAAGAACACCGGAGTGGGTTGCCATTTCCTTCTCTGACTTCGCTGATTAGGTATTATAATAGAGTGAACAAAAATCCCAAGCAAACAAAGCCAGCGACTCTGGATAAAAGCATGAAGGCAGAGTTTGATTTCATTGGATAAAGAATGATTTACAAAAATGGTTTCAGAATGGACCAATGGGAAAAGAAGAGGCAATTCCTGAATTGGGGATTAGTTGGATAACTTATGACACATCCAATTAAGTGGGGTTACATAGGCATTTAAACTAACATTGAAGAATTATGGGATCAACAGACACCCATAGCCTAATATTATGTGAAAATATAGAAAATAAAACATGCATACTGAGACATACATGTACACACCCCTCACACTACAAGAGAGAAAGAAAGTAGACAAAACTGTTAGAAATAAGATGAGGAAGGTGAGAATATAAGCAGTATTGTTTTTCTCTCTTCTTTCTCTTTAAAATATATTTCTTTTTTCTCTTTTTTAGATATTTGCTTATTTTTAATTGAAGGTTAATTGTTTTACAACATTATACTGGTTTCTGCCATAATTCAACATGAATCAGCCACAGGTATACATGTGTCCCCTCCCTCTAGAACCTCCCTCCCACCTCCCACCCTCTTGTTTTTACTTTTTATGAAGGTTTATCTGTATTTAATTCTAACTTTTCTTTTTAAAAAATGAACATATATATGCATGAACACATCTATACATATGTCTCTGTGTATTTTAATTAAGTGAAGCAGTCTGGGAGAACCTTCAGCACTATGAAGCCCTTGGAGCAAACCCAGTCCCGGGGCTGCCCCTGATTTCTCATGTAATAACCCCCTGAAATATCTGTACCTCTTCTCCTTGGTGGATGGGTTTGGGCTCTTCCAGGGCAGCCAGCTGCTCAGTGCCAGGCCTCTTACCAGGCGTGCTGGCCACCACAGTCGGCAGGGCAGGGTGGGTGCATCTCGGCCTCGTGGTCATTTCTGAGCTCTGACTTGGCTATTCTGGGAACCCAGCACCTGCAGGCTCTGCCTGCCCACGTGGGCTTCAGGAAGGCTCATGAGCCTCTGCAGACTGTCAGGCAGCACCCGGCAGGCCATCCCTCGGAGGGACCTGGGGTCACCAGGCACAGAGCTCGGGCTTCACCCCGAGGACGACCTTGGGCCCTCTGCCTCAGCCTGTTAGAGGGACACTCGGTGACTGTCGGCAGTGGGGTCCCAAACCAAGAAGAAGCCTTGGAAGAGCCTCTGCTTTGCAGGTGGCAGACAAACCTCTGTGGGGTGTTGAGCTCTAATCCAGATGTTCCTCTTGCTTCCTGTCTTCAGGGCACAAGGAAAGCCCATGTCCTTTGGTTGTAAACAGATACCTTTTGTGATTGGAACGTGAAAGACTGTGGTGTTGGGTCAGACGCGATGACCAAGTCCCTCTGGCTAGTCTGGGTCATCTCCTCTTTGTTTTGGAGTTCATCATGTTGAGGGAAAAAAATGCAATTCCTGCTCTTCCAGAAACACAAGTGTGTTTCAATGCCCTTGTGTCCTTTACAGTCTATGAGAGCACAGGAAGTTCAGATACACAATTCTGCCTTGAACAGCAGTGGGTTGTGTCCAAGACAGAAACTGACTCATAGGCCACAGGCCAAGTGTTCTGCATGGACACCTCTTTCCTCCTGTTGAACTATAAATGCCGTACTGCATGGTAATATCTCAGAGCCCTCTGAAGAGTGGTCATGAAAGGGAATAGACCATTTGGAACAAAATAAGCCATTCTTTCTTTTTTTTATATGGCTAGAATTTATTAAGCATTTTTTCTGTTTACAAAGTTTGAAAGGAATATTTTTTTAAATTTTATTTAATTGGAGGATAATTACTTTACAATATTGTGATGGTTTTTGCCATACATCAACATGAATCGGTCATAGGTGTATACACGTCCTCCTCATCCTCTTATTACATGCAGACAACAATGGACACTAAGTCACAGCGCTCTTGCGAAAGTAGCTGCAGGGCTCCCAACAGGCCTGACCTTCTCCCTCGCAGAGTAAGGGCCCCAAGGAGGAAGAGGCCTCAAATAACCATGACTGCACAATTTGGGCCATTAGTCAAGTGGCTTCCACTGTCGTCTTGCACTTCAAGGAGCTGCCTTGTCTTTTCTTTTAGACTTTGAGCTCTATAGGAGAAGGAATCATGTTTTCCTGTCTCACCCACAGGATTCAACACTTTCCCAAACATAGTAAGTGCACAGAAGTCGTCTTTGCCACTGTCGACGATGCTCACCCTTCTTCAGCTCCCTCTGTACACCTGCTCTTTTAAAACCATCCCCACCCCACAGGGAAGTGCACATTGATTGTTGAATCCAGGCTGCAGGCACAGGGAGTCAGCTCTCTCTGGCTTAATACTCTTACAAATCAATTATGTTATATTAATGCAGGGAACAGAGATTCACCTCTAAATTGAGGCAAGTGTGTTAGTTGCTGACTCTTTGCAACCCCATGGACTGTAGCCTGCCAGGCCCTCTGTCCATGGAATTCTCCAGTCAAGAATACCAGAGTGGGTTGCCATTCCCTTCTTCAGGGAATCTTCCCTGGAGACCCAGGGATCGAACCCAGGTCTCCTGCATTGCAGGCAGACTCTTAACCATCTGAGCCACCAGGGAAGCCCAAACTGGGGCAAAGTCATAGCCATGTCCTTCACAATAAGCCCATATAAGATCTCTATTTGTCATCACAGCCTGCAGTTCCCCCTTCCCTCACCTGGGAGCTAAGGGTGGGCTTAGCGGGCCGAGAGGGGCATCACTTTCCTTTTCAGTCTTTTGGGAAATTGCTGAACCTCTGCCATTTCTAGGAGATGGCCTTGAAGCTGCATTTGCTACCCGGCAGTTGGGCTGGGTGATGAGGTCCTTTTTGAGAAGGATGATTGGCTGGATAGTGGGTGTGTGGTGCAAACTCATCTTCCACATTCCACAGGGGCCAAGCTGAGCCCCCAGAGGGGCAGGGGGGCTGCGGGTCAGTGAGATGCTGGGAGAGAACTATGGTCTAGAGATGGCTGAGTGACTGGCAGAGGACTATTTTGGCTTTGGTTCCACTAACATCTGTATATATAATATACAGATGTGCCTAGATGTTTATAGAGGTGGGTGCTGGGCGTTGGAGGGGTGAGGATGGAGCTTTGGTCATGAGCCACGAATGTGTAGGGACCTGGTGTCCACAGCTTGTCAGCAAGGGGAGGGGCTTGGTAGTGACTAGGTCCTCTCCTGGGCAGGGTCAGCCTTTGTGAGTCTCAGAAAAGTTGATGTGTTCGAGGGGAGAGGGTAGTCCCCCAGGGATGGAAGGTCCAGGGGACAGGGCAGGACAGTGAGATGCCAGGAGGCTGCTCACCCTCATCACCTCCTCTCCTGCTGAGACTTCACTGGCTCCTGACTCTCCTTGCAGCCTGCTTGCACCATGGTCACTGGGGTGGCTTTGGCTGGGACCTGAGATCAGACAGACAGTGTGAGGGGAGAGTGACAAGAACACTACAGTGGTCCCTCACCCCTGACAGCTATAAGATCTGAGCAGGTCTCTTCCAGGGGCCTTGGATGGACCCTTAGTTAACTAGGAAGATGACATCTTTGAAGGAAGGTCAGTGCCACAGGATACCTCACCCCGGGTGGGAGCTGGGGTCCATCACTGTGTCAGCCTGATCCTAGGTCTGCCATGTGTCGCTGCAACCCCTCACCATCAGGTTACTTCTGAGAGCTCACGCAGGGTGCAGCTGGGGAGTGTGTCTGTGTATATGCGTGTGTGCCTGAATACCCGTGTCACTTGGGTGCACATTGCATACATGTGCCCGTGTGCTATGTGTGAACATGTGCTTGTGTGTGCACACTGATGTTCATGCAAGTGTTTCTGTGTGCATGTACATGGGAGTCATGTGTTTATGTATATGTGCACATGCCTATGTGTGTGGGTATGTGGAAATATGTGGATGCACAATGCTTACGTGCGAGTGTGTACCTGTGTGTGAATGCCTGTGTGTGCATGTACGTGTGCCCATATGCATGTGCCTGTGTGTGTTCAGTTCAGTTCAGTTGATAAGTCATGTCTGAATTTTTGTGATCTTATGGACTGCAACACATCAGGCTACCCTGTCTTTCACTGTTTCCCAGAGTTTGCTCAAACTATGTCCTTGAGTCAGTGATGCCATCCAACCATCTCATCCTCTGTTGTCCCCTTCTCCTCCTGCCTTCAATTTATCCCAGCATCAGGGTCTTTTCCAATGAGTCAGTTCTTTGCATCAGGTGGGCAAAGCATTGCAGTTTCAGCTTCAGCATCAGTCCTTCCAATGAATATTCAGGACTGATTTCCTTTAGGATGGACTGGTTGGATCTCCTTGCAGTGCAGGGGACTCTCAAGAGTCTCCTCTAGCACCACAGTTTGAAAGCATCGATTCTTTGGCCCCCAGCCTGCTTTATGGTCCAACTCTCACATCTGTACATGACTACTGGAAAAACCATAGCTTTGAGTATCCGGACCTTTGTCAGCAAAGTTGTCTCTGCTTTTTAATACACTGTCTAGATTTGTCATAGCTTCCTTCCAAGGAGCAAGTGTCTTTTAATTTCATGGCTGCAGTCATCCTCCTTCTCTTGGGTACACATACACTTGGGTCCTCAAACCCCAAGGTGTCACCTTTGCTGACATCTCGTCATATATCTTGGTCAGATGTTCACACATGGTCTTTGGAATGAAGCTGAGTAGTCAGACAGAATCAAGCCTCCCCCCCCCCTCCCCAATGTGGGTGGTGAACACTGTCTGAGCCACAAGCACTGTAGCATTGCTCTGGGAAGATATCTTACCCCAGTGCCTGCCCCAGGGCTGCCTTCCCCTCGGCCTCCTGCAGGGCTGGGGACACCAGAGTCCTTCCAGGACCTGCTGACCGCTTGGCATCCCAAACTCGGTGTTGACTCCTTGAGCTGATCTGTTCACAGTGTTTTTAAAATTAATGTTTATTTTTACCAAGGTGAGAGATGCACAGAGTTTTAAGAGCCACAGACTTGGAAGGAGAATCAGAAGATCTCTGCCCCATTCCTCTGGTTTCATTTTTTCTAAGAATGAGCCTCAGGTCACCCTCAGTAAGAGAGCATGATCCCAGAGCTTAGGACAGGCTGACCCTGGAGTCCCAGTGTGTCCCCAGGTCTAGCTCCTCTCTCTCAACATCATGTGTGATACATCCAGATGGTCATGTGATCAGTTGGGTTTATCCATACTTATTGCTGAATTGTTTTCCTTCGTGTGGCTATGCTGTATGCATAATATATATATCACTTAAATATATGAATATAATATACTTGTATAAAATTATCTATTATATAAAATATATTTGTGTTATATAATTACATAATGTAATGATACAGTTATGTAACAAATAATTATTGTTGTTTAGTCTCTAAGTCGTGTCCAACTCTTTGTGAACCCATGGACAGTAGCCCACCAGGATCGTCTGTCCGTGGGATTTCCCAGACAAGAAAACTGGAGTGGGTTGCCATTTCCTTCCCCAATAATAAATAATACATATAATATATACTATGTGATATGCTATGCATTTATTGTGCATGTATTTTATATGGTTATAAATAATTTACAACATAACTGATCTAATGTAATATAATATTTAATTATATATACTATTCTACTGTTCATGGGCATTTGAATTGCTTCAGTTTTTAGTTATTGTTTTTATTGAGACATATTGGACATGTAACAATGTGTCAGTGTCAGGTTTTCAACATCATGATTTGATGTATGGATATATTGTGAAATGACCACCATAATAAGTCTACTTAGCATTCATCATACACATAGTGGCAAGTATTTTTTCCTTGTGATGAGAAATTTCAAGATTAACTCTCTTAGGAACTGTCAGATACACAGTATTATTTTAGCTATTATGAATAGTGTTGCTCTGTATAAATTCTTCAGTGACTATAATCACATTTCTGAGTATACACTAGAGTAGAATGGACAGGTCATAAGGTGTGCACATGTTCAGCTTCATTAGATATGGCCAGGGGTTTCCAAAGTGGTTGAGCCAATTTACATCCCTATCAATTTACAGAAGACCATTCTAGTTGCTCTAAATCCTCACAAACACTTGGTATCATTAGTTTTTTCCATTTAGCCATTTACAGGTGACAACCAGATGTAGTGTTCTTTCCTTTTGCATTTTCTTCATTATTAATGAGGTTAAGTACACTTTCATTTGCTTACCGGTCATGAAGTTTTACTGTTTTATGAAGTATTCAAGTATTTTCACCAGCTTTCTGTTATGCTGTCTGATCTTTTCTCATTTGCTTGTCAGAGGTCTTTGTATATTTGGGTACAAGTCTTTGGTTGGATGTTCAGTTCAGTTGCTCAGTCATGTCTGGCTCTTTGCAACCCCATGGACTGTAGCATGCCAGGCTTCCCTGTCCATCACCAACTCCCATAGCGTGCTCAAACTCATGTCCATCTAGTTGGTGATGCCATCAACCATCTCATTCTCTCTCGTCCCCTTCTCCTCCCACCTTCAATCTTTTCTAGCAATATGGTCTTTTCCAAGGAGTCAGTTCTTCATATCAGATGGCCAAAGTATTGGAGTTTCAGCTTCAGCATCAGTCCTTCCAATGAATATTCAGGACTGATTTCCTTTAGGATGGACTGGGTGGATCTCCTTGCTGCCCAAGGGACTCTCTAGAGTCTTCTCCAACACCACAGTTCAAAAGTATCAATTCTTTGGCACTCAGCTTTGTTTATTGTCCAACTTTCACATCCATACACGACTACTGGAAAAACCATAGCTTTTTTCCATAGTCTATGGAAAAACCATAGACTAGACAGACCTTTGTTGGCAAAGTAATGTCTCCGTTTTTTAATATGCTGTTTAGGTTGGTCATAGCTTTTCTTCCAAGGAGCAACCATCTTTTAATTTCATGGCTGCAGTCACCATCTGCAGTGATTTTGGAGCCACCCAAAATAAAGTCTGTCATTGTGTCCATTGTTTCCCCATCTATTTGCCATGAGTGATGGGACCAGTTGCCTTGACCTTTGTTTTTTGAATGTTGAGTTTTTAAGCCAGACTTTTCACTCTCCTCTTCCACTTTCCTCAAGAGGCTCTTTAGCTCTTCTTCACTTTTTGCCATAAGGGTGGTGTCATCTGCATATCTGTGGTTATTGATGTTCCTCCCAGCAATCTTGATTCCAGCTTCTGTTTCATCTGGCTATGGATTTTGCATGACGTACTCTGCATATTAGTTAAATAAACAGGGTGACAATATACAGCCTTGATGTACTCCTTTCTTGATTTGGAACCAGTCTGTTTTTCCATGTCCAGTTCTAACTGTTGCTTCTTGACCTGCATACTAGTTTCTCAGGAGGCAGGTCAGGTGGTATGGTATTCCCATCTCTTTAAGAATTTTCCACAGTTTGTTTTGATCCACACAGTCAAAAACTTTGGAGGAATCAATAAAGCAGAAGTAGATGTTTTTCTGGTATTCTCCTGCTTTTTTGATGATCCAATCAATGTTGGCAATTTGATTTCTGGTTCCTCTGGCTTTTCTAAATCCAGCTTGAACATCTGGAAGTTCATGGTTCATATACTGTTGAAGCCTGGCTTGGAGAATTTTGAACATTACTTTGCTAGCGTGTGAGATGAGTGCAATTGTGTGGTAGTCTGAGCATTCATTGGTGTTGCCTTTCTTTGGGATTGGAATGAAAACTGACCTTTTCCAGTCCTATGGCCACTGCTGAGTTTTCCAAATTTGCTGGCATATTGAGTGAAGCACTTTCACAGCATCATCTTTTAGGATTTGAAAAAGCTCAACTGGAATTCCTCCAGTTGCTTTGTTCATAGTCATGCTTCCTAAGGCCCACTTGACTTCGCATTCCAGAATGTCTGGCTCTAGGTGAGTGATCACACCATTGTGATTATCTGGGT